ACCATCTTAGGGAGGGAATGCTTTTTAGGAAGATTCTTGCAGCCTCAGAACCATGTAACAGGTATGGAGTTTCCTTATCTATGTTCCATTTTTACTCAGCATCTCCTGAAAACACATTACGCAGTTTACGGGTTTTTTTTTTTTTTTTGCTAATGAATATTTTGCTGTTTCATTATATGGATCCTCTTTTACAGACTCAAATCTCTCATGGAACTGGGTGGATGAGTTAGACAGAAAGATGGAGAGATGATGGACAGCCAGGTGCTGCCGGAGCTGTGGAGCTGGAGAATTGTATCCCCCCATGGTACCCCCTTGGAGTAGTGACCTGGGTGACCCTCACGCCACTCAGGAGTTACATAACTTATGTCTTCCATAGATAAGAAAGATGAAAATTAATTTTTACTTGGTAAATACATTTTGAGGAGAAAACAGTTTTCTTTTTTAAAGCATAGAGTTTAGCAACTGGGACATCATTGGAGTATGAATGTGAGTTCTTTTGGCTGATGGGATTTGAGAGATTTTTAGTTTTTTTCTTGAAACTTCTATGCGTATCCCAACATTTCTCTAATGGCCTCACATTTGCTTTTCCTGATTTTAAAAGCAAAATGCAATTTTTTTAAATGACCCTGGGCAAGACTGCTTTCGTTTTACACCCCCTGATGCTCTGGGGAAATAGCCAGCTCGTACGTCGATAGTGACAGCAAATGGTGCACACTTTACACAAAAGAAACACACATGAGACATCAAAGTGGTCCACATGCACCCTCTGACCCAAACAGACTCGCACAAGATCAGACACACAAATGAGGTGCTCATTAGGACAGAGTGTCCAGAAATGAGAGGGGCTTAAATAAATTATGGGATGATCAGTGATCTGCTTGAAAAACTAAGGCTCAGCTGTGTGACTCCTCACAGTTCTACTCCACTTTCAGTGACATCATGCTGTTAGCCTGAAACTGACCAGGGTGGGATTATTGACACCAGAGGAATCGACAGAGCCTACAATGAGCGTTTCCCTCCTCATTGCCTGAAAGCTGGTTGTTATTCCCCAGCACACCCCTGGGTTCAACTTTGTGATGCGGAGTATTTGCAGGTGCTGAAAAGAATAAAGTAGACCTCAGATCTACAATCCAGGGGAGAAAGCAAGGTACAAACCAGTGTAACCTCTCCTGTTTTTTTTTTTTTTTACAAAGGAAAAAATAAACAGTTTAAAAACATACAAGCCCATGTAAACTTCTTCCTATTAAGAGAAGGAATGTTAAGGAACTGTTTACGATGCCCATCTTTGGGAAGCGTCCAGCTGGGGTTAGGGGGGCTGGCTTTTGCTCTGTACCTGTTATGGGACATCTGAATTTTCTCTAACCTTACAGAGGTATCACCTTATTTCTTTTTCAATGTCAGTGGGGTTATGTGAGTGGGAAAGTTACACCCACTTTTGGTTTTCCTCTCTGTGCCTCTCTATTGGAAAACTTCGACATTCTCCAGGGAACTGACGCAGAGGAGAGGGCTCCCAGGGAAAAGGGCTGGTTACCTGGTGATGATGGCCAGGTGGGGAGGGTTCATGCAGGCACCCATGAAGAGCACCACGTTTTCATGCCGTGTCTGCCGGTAGTTCATCACCTCCTTCTTGAACAGCTTCAGGTGGTCCTGGTTGTGGCCGTCCATCTCCAGCAAGCGGATGGCCACCTCACCATGCCAGCGGCCACGGTGCACCCGGCCCCAGCGGCCCTGCCCGATGGGCTCACCCAGCTCCACCTGCTCAAAGGGGATGTCCCACTCCTGCAGGTACACGCTGGTCTGGCTGGCCTTGCGGGAGATGGGTCCCCGCCAGGGCCGGCGGGAGCTTGGCAGGTCATCCACCTCATCCTCCTCATCGTCTTCGGCCTCTGACTTGCCAGCTTCTGGCTCCTCAGCCTAAAAGGAAAGCAGGAAAGAACAGAGAAGGGCAGCAGATCTGGGCTCAGCCAACTGCTCTTCCCTTCCGCGGAGCACCCGTCCCTGAAGTACAGGAGTTCAGAACACACACAGAGGTAAGGAAGGAAAGAAGCATGAGGTTGGGAGACCCGGGATCTAGTTGTAATTCAGCTCTGGTTTGCTGTGGACATTGAGCAGCTCATTTACTAGCATCACTGGATCTCAACATTGTGATCCATAAAATACGGCAGTTGGCCTTCAGGACCCCTGGGGTCCTTCATACCTCCAAGATCTCCCTGTGAGCAACATTCAATTATTTAGAGATGAACATTAAGATCCCTGGCAAAGAAGAGTTTAACTGCATTCATTTTTCTGGTATTCTTTTTTTTTTTTTTGAGACAGAGACTCAAGCTGTCCCCCTGGGTAGACTGTCGTTGCATCACAGCTCATAGCAACCTCCAATTCCTGGGCTCAAGCAAGTCTTCTGCTTCAGCCTCCCAAATAGCTGGGACCACAGGCACCCGCCACAACGCCCAGCTATTTTTTGGTTGCAGCTGTCATTGTTGTTTGGCGGGCCTGGGCTGGATTCGAACCTGCCACCTTAGGTGTTTGTGGCTGGTGCCTTAGCCACTTGAGCCACAGGCGCCGAGCCATTTTTCTGGTATTCTTTCCTTTATACATAGAATTTCTGACACTCCCCTAGGGCAGGAGAAAATTAGCCTGTTAACATTCTCTAAGCTACCCTCCATCATAGAGATCCAGGCTCAGCCAACAGTTTTGTTCAAGGATCTAGACCAGTCAAGTGTCTTTCAACCTTTTTTATCCCATGGCACACTTGAACCTACAGTTAAACTTCCATGGCACACTTAAATTATGTTGACCCTCCCCCCCCAAAAAAGTAAAACACATATATTTACTATGTTTTAAATGTCTTCTGAAAATAATTTAGTTACTGATCTTTAAAATTTTCACAGCATACCTAAGATCTTCTCATGGTACACCAGTTAAAAATCACTATCTAAGGCCAGGTGTGATGGCTCACACCTGTAATCCTGGCACTCTGGGAGGCCAAGGTGGGCAGATCCCTTGAGCTCACAAGTTCAAGACCAGCCTGAGCAAAAGCAAGACTCCCATCTCTAAAAATAGCCAGCCCTTTTGGAGGGTGCCTATAGTCCCAGCTACGGGAGGCTGAGGCAAGAGAATCTCTTGAGTCCAAGAATTCAAGGTTGCAGTGAGCTATGATGCCACGGCACTCTACTGAGGCTACAAAGTGAGATTCTGTCTCAAAAAAAAAAAAAAGAAAGAAAGAAAGAAAGAAAATCACTGATCTAGAGAGTGGTTCTTGACCCTGACTCCAATCAGAAAATCAGAATCACCTGGGGAGTCCTGACAGCACAGATGCCTGACCTCATCCTGGATTGAACAATCTCCCAGGCCAGAGCCCAGGTAGGCTGAGAGTGCCAACCGTGAGAATGAGGAACTTTAGTTAGCCTCAAACACAGAAGAAAAAGGAAGCTCACTCTTTCACAGCCTCACTGTTCTTCCTTGCTGCAGCGGACCAGGGACCAGCCCTGGCTGGGGGCTCGGCACCCACTCACTGCCCAGAGCCCTGATCCTCTGAGGTGGGGTGGGGAGGAGAGGACAGGGCAGGAGCTGTCTACGGACTTATGTGTCAGGCCCTCACTCACCTCCACTTCGTGAACCTCTAACACGTCTGCTTTTGGCTGGTCGTCGAGCCTAAAAGTAAAATAGGTTTTGTCAAGGGGACCCTAAGGCAGGCTACTCTGTTCTCAGTGGTCAGGGGGACTTGAGTAAAGTCTGAGACAAAAGGCCACCAGGCTGGATCCTCAGCTGGACCCACCCCTGGCTGGGAAAGGCAGTGGGGATGCCCAAGAAACAGGCAGGCCAAGAACCAGGCCGGCCCCCTCCCTGGCCTCAGCCTTCTCCAAGCTAACTCAAGAATGGGCTGGATCACCAAGGTCCCTTTCAAAGTGACACTGCAGTATAGGGGTTCTGGGCACACACAGGACTGGAACCTGACAGCCTTGCATTTGAGAAATAGCTCTGTCTCTTTCTACCAATTTCTTAACTGCTCTGGGCCCTCTGTCCACTAAGGATGACACCTATTTTACTACCCCTTCACCAAGCAGGGGACTGAGGGAGGGAACATGAGTCAAGTGCTCAGAATGGCCTGACATGGAGAAAGATTCCAGTAGGAGCTGTTTCCAGTAGGTTTCTTTGACTCTGTGTGCCCTAGGTCCACCCCTCCTGGTCACAAGATGGCACCCAGCTTCATATGCAGCTGCACCCATGTTCACTGCCCCAGCGGGGGAATTAGCCCAAGAGAATTCTCTGGCTGGCTGGCCCAGGCCGGGAGGGTCAGCAGTTTAGGGGTCTGGGTGGGTGGTCAGGGATGTGGGTCCAGCCGTAACAAGTCCCAGGGGAGAGAAGGCGGACGCAGCAGAGGGATCCCTACCGGGTGCTGTCCGCAGCATCGGGGAGCGGGGCTGCCTGTGCGAAGGTCGAGATGTCTGTGGGAAACAAAAAACAAATACAGAATCTGAGACCTCTTTTCCAGTCCCCACAAGACACTGTGCTTGAAACCCAGCATACCCTGCAGTCGGCCCTCCCTGAGCAGACTGCTTGCCATGTGTTCTCCAAACTAAGACCAACTGTGTTCCTCCCAGAAGCTCCCCTGGACTCAGCCTCCACAACACTTGTCCACACAGCTCTGGCCCAGGAAGGGACCAGACTTCTCAGTTGACACCACTCCCCTGAGGCCAAACCTTCTCATACCAGCAAGCAATACAAGCAAACTGGGCCATCAGACAGGCAGCCAGAGCACCTCCTCTGCAAGAAGGTCCCTCTGTTTGGGTGCTGGGGGGCAACAACCCTTCCAAGCAACGAGACTCCTTTCATTTAGGCCTGCAGAGGCCAGGAGCAGGACGGGCAGGTGGTTCATTAGCGACACCTGGTGTAGGTGCTGGCAATTTCCAGAGCAAAGATGAGAGCATCTCTCAGGGGAGAAAAAGACATTCACTGTCCACGCACCAGGGGGCCTAGGAATGGGCAGCTGGGCTGACCCCTGAGCCTAGGACCTCCTAGTTTTAGCACTGACAGTCCCCCTATCCAGGGACACAGAGGGTCACTCTAGTGTGAAACCAAGTGCTACAGGGAGTTTGAGGTCCCTGGACCTGGCCAGAGCAGCCTCCCTCTCACCTCTTTTCTGCAAAGAGAGACTGAAAACGGCAGTGGGCCAGGCTCTCAGCAGCCTTTCTTCTGCCTTTGTGGACGCAGACTCACTCTCCTGGCTCAGCCATCAGGCCTCCAAAGCTACTCCTAACGGTCATCTGAACCAGACGTCATTAACATCTCTGGAACCTCACAGATGGGGAGAAGCTGATCTGCTTCTTAAAAGGGTAACACACGTGTGCCCAACATCCTGCATGCTGTTTCTGGGGACCTGTGACCGCAGAGCCTTTGCCAAAGCTACCCCAGGCATGGCTACCCTATGCCCACAGAGGCTGCCTGGTGCTTTCACTCACCCAATGACGCTCACGTGTTCCTCAAAATCAACACATGACTAGGTATGGGGGGACTGGAGGTTTGGGGGCAGGGTCTGGGGAGAAAGAGCACCCCAGCTAGGAAAGCAAAATGTCTCCGAAGCCTCACACTTTTCCTTAAAAGTTAAAGAATGCATTGTGCATTCTCTCCCAAAATGTGTCTGTTTGTTTTAATAAAAATAGATTTCCTCAGCCACATACACTGAGGCTGGCGGGTTTGAACCCAGCCCGGGCCTGCCAAACTACAATGACAACTGCAACCAAAAAATAACCAGGCATTGTGGCAGGCGCCTGTAGTTCCAGCTACTTGGGAGGCTGAGGCAAGAGAATCACTTAAGCCCAAGAGTTGGAGGTTGCTGTCGGCTGTGATGCCATAGCACTCTACCGAGAGTGACATAGTGAGACCTCTTTCTCAAAAAAAAAAAAAAAAAGATTTCCTTTCTCTCCTCAATATATCTTCACAGGGGTGAAACAGACCCTCTGGAAGAAAAGTGTTTTAGGGTACTCCACTGAATGCATCCTAGAGCTAGGAACCAGGAACATAGAGGGGACTGCGGCAAAAACTGGTGTGAGAGCACACAGGCACTCAAGCACTCAGCTACTCACAGGACGCCTCCCAGCAGCCCCAAGCCCTGACAGCCTGCAGGTGCCCAAGCAGAGCCATACAGATAGTCCCTCCCACAAGGACGCACAAATGCGCCGAGTCAATCTCCTAATCCAGTTGGGCTGGGGGAATAGGAAAGCCTGGAATAACCAAAATACTGTGACTTCAAAACTGTCCTGTTTAACCCAAGGGGAAAAAAAAAACTGAACGGTAGCCTTTGTCTACTCAACACCTTCATCTAGAGAAAAAAAAGCACTAATCTCACATACTCCTTAGGGTCAGGAATATGATCAAATGCAAAGGTTGGCACCTAGTATGTGTGCAAAACAATTTTTCTGAAAGGGAATCAATCAATGGGTGGAATTACTAAATTGAAAGTTTTTTCCTTTAAATTTCCTACAATAGAGAGGCATTTCCAGTGATGGCCAGAAGATGGCACCATGAGGCAAAGCTTGGGAAGGTGAACCTGTTGGGACAAATGAAGCCTGCAGACTTTCCCCAACTGGTTTCCACTTCTGTAAGACAAGGCCAGTAGTTTACTGTCACTGTGTAGGGAGGATATGGTGACGGATGCTCATAAGGCATCAGTAAAAAGTCCTCTCCTCCATTCTGCAAAACTGGGTCCTAATTACTCCTGCTTCTGCCACCTCTTGGCTGCGTGACCTTGAAAAAGGTGCCAGCAGTCCCTATGTGCAAAAAGGCCGGGCAGGATGGATTCCAGGGTCCCACCCAGCATGACTGCTATGTAAGGGGCCCATCTCCAGGAAACCTGCCCTGTCCCCTTCCCATACTCAAGGGCCAGTCAGCTCTCAAAACAGATGGAGGGAGACTCAAGTACCTCCAAAGGTGCCCAGGGAGAGGTGGGCTGGACAGAAGGGCTTGCAGCAAGGGCAGTTAGTGGAACCATGCAAAGGACTCACCTGGAAAGATAAACTGCTGTCTATGATGAATGAAGTAGGCAGCTTTAAACAGAAGAGGAGGTGAGTCACACACACAGAACGGCAAACTCAGCAAGGGAGGGGCAGTGCAGGCATTGGCTCGGGAGATAGGGACTTGTTAGGATGACCCTGGCAAGGGCAGACTGAGCCATGCAGGAAGGCCAAAAAGAACTGGGAGAAAATGGGCCCCAGCAGGAGCCTCCAGGGATAAAGGGGCCTGCACCGGAGGACTGGCGCTTCTGAGACCCAGTCCCTGCGGCCACCTTGTTGCACAAACCCGGTCAGTGCTCTGCTCTGTGAAATCCAATTGAGCCCAGGAGGGCAAAATTCAACACGGTAGAAAAATAGGGATAACGAGAAAGCTTAATAGCATTGTGCGCAGACGACTAACAGGGCTCCTCCTGTTTAATCCCACTGTTACCCTCAGAAGGCCAGCCCGGCACACATACAAAATTTGTTCTCTCTTAAGGGGAACTGAAAGGAACGCGCTGGGGTTCTGGAATCTGACACAGCACATTCTAACCTCAGTTCTACCATTGACGAGGCTCTGGGACCTTGGGAAATTAGTTAACCTCTCCAGCTGTCACACGGTATGCAGTTTGTATAAGCACAGCCACGTGCGTATGTGATACAAGGATGGGCCACATACTTGATGGTGGGCCCGTGACAGTATAACGGACCAGCACACTTCCTATCACCCAGGGACACTATAACCATCGTACTGTAGTAACACTCACATGTGGGTAGTGACACTGGTGCAGACAAAAGCACAGCACATGCCATCACGCGCCGTCCATGACTCTCAGTGACAATAAACGGCCACGTAACTGGGTTACATACTTACTATGCTTTTTAGTCATTATTGTAGTGTATTCTCCTTCTATTTATAATAAAAACAAAAGCTGGCTGTAAAAGAGCCTCAGGCAGGTCCTTCAGGAAGTATTCCAGAAGGCACCATGAGCACAGAAGATGACAGGTCCATGCGTATTCTTGCCCCTGAGACCTTCCAGGGGCACAAGATGCAGAGGTGGAAGACGGGGTTACTGATGATCCTGAGCCCGTGTAGGCCTAGGCTAATGTGTGCATTGGTGTCTTAGTTTTTCATTAAAAAAGCTAAAAAGTCATACAAAGAAAATTAAAACTTTTATATATATAAAAAAAGCCTACAGAAAAAGGATAGAAAGAAAAGATATTTTTGTACAGCTGTAAAATGTGTTTGTGTTTTAAGCTAAGCGTTATTACAAGAGACTCAAAAAGTAGAAAGTTTATTAGGCAAAAAAGTTACAGGAAGCTAATGTTAATTTATTATCGAAAGAAAATTAAGAAAATAAATTTAGTGCTCCTTGAGTGTACAGTGTGGGTAAAAAAGTAAAAATTTTAAGTAAATGTAGTCCTCTCTCATGTACGGTATTTATAAAGTTTACAGCAGCGCCCAGCAGTGTCCCGGGGCTTCACATCCACTCTCTACTCACTCACTGACTCGCCCAGAGCAACCTCCAGTTCTGCAGGCTGCGTTCCCTATGGCACCCAGGTGTACCATTTGTAACCTTTCACGCAGTATTTTTGCTGTTCCGTAAACACAACCATTGCATTACAGTATTCAGGACAGCCACATGCTGTGCCATCCACGTTCCTATAAGGGCTCCTCACAAATGCACTCTCAGAAGGCATCCCTCTCATGGAAGCGTGCGTGACTGTCACCTTTCCCCAGGATTATCCCTGAAGGCCAAGTGCAATGCTTCTGCGCAGCACAGAGCAGGAGGAGTTCCCTCTGCAGGCGAGCCACCTGTGAGCCCAGCCCTGAGCGGCTGGCCCAGTTGGTGTGGCCACGACCACAAAGATATGATCTTGGAGAGAGGAATGCCTCTGGGTAGGGGACAATGAGGGCCCAGTCCAAGGACATCAGGGAAAGCAGAGAGAGTCTGGCTGGTATTGCAAAAAGAACCTTTTCTGTGGCTTTTGTTTTTCAAACAGGCCCTTCCTTTTAGAAAAACCCAAAGTAGGAGGTTTTGCAGAAGGCAGTTTTGGAGCACTACGAAGATGGGGTGGAACGGGAGAGGAGGGTAATCAAATGGGTCAGCACTCAACCGCAGGGTGGGAAGGGGTGTGCTCAGGACAAGGTGTTCATGTCAGAAGATGCCCGGCCACCCGCAGATTGATGTGAAGGGACAGGCACAAGAGAAAAAAAGCTTCCTACCAAACCTTGGCGTCTCACTACCCACAAAAGCGGTCCCCAGAACCCTGGTGAGATGGGCCCAGAGGCCTGGCTTCCTGCTGGCTCTGTGTGGCCCCAGCTATAACTGCTCAGGAGAGGCCCCTGGCACAGGAAGAGCTGCACCTCTGTCCCCCGGGCTTAGTGCCCCAGGGCCCAGTGATAAGAGCCAGACGTGGACTCCGAGAGTTGGAGACAGCCTGCGGCAACCCAGAGTCCTCTGGGACTGCAAACTGCAGTAGACTGGGGGCTAAGATGGTGGCAGCTCAGGTCCAAAAGGGGCAAATGGGCTTCACTCTTCTCCCAGAGAGGCGGACGCCCAAGACCTGGCTGGAACGAGGGTGGGAAGGGCTGGGATCCTGACCTCTCCCTACAGATCCCTGGGCAGCGGGGCTATGGGTGGAGCGGGAGGTCAACTCCAGCTCGGACCTTCTTGCTCTGCTCTTCTGTGAGGATGACCTAATTCAATGACACGTGCTCTCCGTGTTTTAAGGAAAAGGTCTCCCTAGGGTAGCTTGCCTAGCTGACAGCACAGGTAGGCAGCAAGGCCCCAGATCCGCTCTCCTAGGCCTCCTAGCTCACTGTGCTGCCTACCACGCCTCCTGGGAGCTCAGGTGCCTGCCCTGCGTGAGCAATGCCCAAGAGAAGCCATCTGCGTATAGGAGGGCAGTGTGGGTATTATGTTATGTCTGTGGTCTTGAGTTTGGGCCTCATGTGCTACTGACAACACAACTTAGGGCAAGCCATTCCTGCTCTCCAAACCTCAGTGCTCCTATCTGTAACATGGGTGCAACAACAGCACCAACCTCAGAGCTACTGGGCTTGAGGCTCCAGGCAAGCACTCCATAAGTATCAGCTCTGAGTGGTGGCAGTGTTTGACCTTGACCTTGCCAGGGTTTGCTGAGGAGGAGAATCTAATCACACCCTCAAGAACCCAGAAAAGCCTGAGATGTGGTACCTGGGAAATTGAACCTGCTGTCCCGCTGTCCCGGTGAGGGGTTGGGCGGCGTGGTGGCACTGGAAGGGTTGGACGATGTCGGGAAGGGCGCTGGCGAGGAAGGCGTGGAGGAGGTGGTGGAGGATGGGTTGCTGCTGGAGTCCAGGTGGTTCATGGCTGGAGGATGCTCCTGCAGGATCAGAGACGCTGGAGTGGACAGGGTTGTCACCACCCGGCCCAGCCCACTGCCACGTGGGAGGACCCTCTAATCCCTACTAAAAGGGAAGAGGTCAGCCCAGGGGGTTCTTAGGGTCTTGCCCTGCAGCTGATGTTTTATGGGTCTAATATTTGAGGAAGGGGGACACAGAGAGACCCCCACCTCAACGCCCAGAGGACTCCTGCTCTTCTTTCTTTCTTCGGCTCAAACACACTTTCCCCCAGAAGCCTTCCCTGAGCCCCAGCTGGGACCAAGCTCCTCCTCTCTAGAGGCCCAGAGCTCCCTGCAGTTTTTCATCAGGGCACTCTTTCCTGGTGAACGTCATCCCCACCACACCACGTGCCTCTGAGCAAAGCACATGGTAGGTGTTCTAAGTAAATTCAGCCTCTACGCAGCAGAGTCTGTGTAACGTCTGCTATTGCCAGGCCCCCTGCTAGAAGGAAGGTGATGATGATAGGTGAGAGGTGATGGTCCCGTCCCGCAGACCTTGCTATCTCGAAGGCACTGGGAACTCTCGGGCCCCATATTAAACTGCAAAGCCAGCACGGGTTGGTGCTGACTGTCATCGTGGAGGAGCAAAAAATTTCAGAGCTGGAATGAACCTTCTAGAAGATAATCGTTAAGAGCTGGTTTGGGCTCACTCCTGCTGTCCTAACTTAAATGACAATGTCATCCCTTTCCCACTCAAAAGTAAGCACAGTCCCCTACTAACAGGTCAGGCCAGCCAGTGTCTGCCATAGGACACATGCATGTTTGATGGTCCATGAGACTTTAGAAGGCCCTTGGACATTGAGCCAGGGAGGACGTGATCTTTTCTCTCTTATTCTGAAAGAAGGCCTCAGCCCATGCTGTGGTGTCATTAACATCACTCCAACACAGAGCTTTGAGTGAGGGTGTGACGCTCCGGGTCTTCAGCAAGCATGATATCTAAGTGGAACTTGGTAACGCTTTGGTTTTAACTATTTTAATGATTATCTTCTATCTATGCAGATGGTGGATTTTCCAATTATGACAGTGATGATTTTAAGTGAACATTAGCCCAGGTGTATCCAGTTAAGACAGAAATCATGAGGGCCAGACACGGTGGCTCACGCCTATAATCCCAGCACTCTGGGAGGCTGAGGTGGGTGGACTGCCTGAGCTCACAGGTTCAAGACCAGCCTGAGCCAGAGCAAGACCCTCATCTCTAAAAAGCAGCCGGGCATTATGACAGGTGCCGATAGTCCCAGTTATTTGGGAGGCTGAGGGAAGAGGATGGCTTGAGCCCAAGAGTTTGAGGTTGCTATTAGCTATGACGCCACAGCACTCTACCAAGGGAGACAGAATAAAACTCTGTCTCAGAAAGAAAAAAAAATGATAGAAACCACAAGCACAGTGGCCAAACTTGATGACGTCTCCACAGCACTGACCCTCATGTCAGCTCTCCCCATACCACATGCCATCACAGCCCACTGCAGAGTCAGGAATCGGGGGACCTGGGGGTAAAGGGTTTTGCCCACAGTCATGGGAGATGGGTCTGGTCAGACCCCAGTTCTGGGCTTCCTTTGGGCCAGAGCTTCCCAGGCCACAGCACAGAGAGACCCCTGAAAACAGCAGCAACATCTCACAGCTGAGAGCAAGTGCCTGAGGAAGGACCCAGAGTGCCCTGGGGAAGGGGGTGCTGCCCCAGACAGGGAGAGGAGGGGCAGAGAGAGAGCAGGCAGGGAGGCCCAGGCCCGAGCTTCTCAGCAGAGATGGTGCTGGGCTTGCAGGCGGATGAACCAGATTCTTGCCTAGCTCCTGTCACCTCTTAGCTGGGCTACTCTAGGCAACTTTCTTCACCTCTCTGGGCTTCCATTTCCTCAAGCACAAAATGAAAACATCATGCCTATGCCAGAGGGTTACTGTGTGTGTGAGCAGCTTAACGAAGGCAAGAGTACGTGGTACAGCAGGTGACTAATAAATGCTTGTTCCACTCCTTTGCAGATCTGTTAGCTAAGACCACCTAGTGGTTTGGGCCATATGCTAACAGACCACCAGAAAGAGGGCTGAGGAGCTTCTATGTTAGGGAGGACCCTGGATCTGACTGGTGTCCCTTAGACCCAAACATCAGTTCCTTAGTGGATGGAGGAGGAATTCCTCAGTCAAAAGAGTTGGGGCCACGTTAGGTTAAATGCTCTTCTGCAGACCCTGGGGGCCACAGTGAACTCAGGAACAGGAACACCTGACGCCAAATCAAAACGGGGGACTGGGCCCACTGAGCTTTTGCTCTTCTTGCTTACACCCCAAGGCTCAAGACCCTCCAGCAGTCCCTGTCAGCAGGGCCAGGTCTATGGCAGGGCCAGAGATGGCTATGAGCGCAGACTGAAGCCCAGCTCCTTCACCCTGCACCAGGTGGCCCTGGACAATGACCCAACCTTTCTGAGCCATCATGTCATCTATAACACATGGTAACAGTGATAGATCATAGGATGGTTCATTCCATTCAATGATCAAAATGTTTCCTTACTGCCTATCGTGTGTCAGGCGCCACAGCAGGCACCAGAGGGAAGACAGGAGCAGGACAGCGTGGCTGGGCCCTCAGGGAGTGTCTGTGTCCATGGGGAATGGGGTGAGCAGAGGGCAGAGAAGAGTCCAAGAGAAGTGGAATAAAAACACCTGCTTCAGCTTGACGCCTGACACCTGGGGAAAACTCTCATCTGTTGTCCTACAATAAGGACCACAATAGTAAAGAAGGCAAGGTTAGTGTGTGGAGGGTCACTGCCCCCAGGGAGATGTGGGACTGTTGTCACCAGAGTCCCTCTCCTTAGGAGCTGAGCGGGCGTGTGCAGGACCATGGAGGGCAAGCTGAAGGTGGCAGGACTGAGAAACTGTTGAAGAGAGAGGGGGCCAAGGAGTGGTGACCAGCTGGGTGGAGGTGCCGAGGGCATGAAGGGACATGAGGTCAGGAGGGACGGGCAGGGCCCTGTGAGGCCGTGGGTGTGCTCAGTGGGGCTGGAGAAGAGATGGCAGGGGTGGTGACATTGGCAGTGGGGGTGGGGGTGGGGTGCTGAAGTCCCTGCTGAGGAATTGCTCCTGTCTGTGACAGACTGGAAAACCAATACTAGTTGATGTGATGGCCCCTCACCCTGCAGGTGAGTTTGTGAACGTTCTCTCATTGCCCTAACAACACCCTGTGTGGGAACCATTGTTATGGAGGATCAGAGAGGGCAAGGAGCTCACTTAAGGTCGCAGAAGAAGGGAGAATAGTGGCCATGACCCAGTAAGGTCTGAACGATTAATTGTATTTCCATTTCCAAAGTTCACATGTTGAAATCCTAACACCCAAAGTGCTGGTATTGGGAGGTGGGGCTGCTGGGAGTTGACCAGGTCATAAGGGTGAAGCCCTCAGGAGTAAAAGAAACCCGAGGGGAGCCTGCTGGACCCTCCAACCATGTGAAGATGAGGCTGAAAGGCACCATCTATGGGGAAGTGGGGCCTCTGCAGATGCCAAATCTGCCAGTGCCTTGACCTTGGACTTCCAAGCCTCCAGAACTATGAGAAGTAAGCTTCTGCTGTTCACAAGCTACCCAGGCTATGGAATGTTGTCACAGTAGCTCAAATGGCCCAGGACAGGATCTTAACGCCTCTCCCCTGTCCCTCACCATTCCTGGTGGGAAGCCACCATCAGAGGGGCTGTAAGACAGGCAGAGGCAGGAGAGAGGGACCAGATCTGGAGCAGCTGGCCTTGTCTGACAGTAAGTGGCCCTGGACGCTCTCAGAGCAGCCCTGAGCTAAGAGGCACAGGCACAGTGCCCGCCTGCCTCTCTTCTCTCACTGAGGCCAGCCTGGGTCACTGAAGACCAGTCACGGCCAAGTAGCAGTGGTCACATGCCCCTCATCAGGGAGGCACCCTGCAGCCGGGGTGGGGCCATCTGCTGTGTGGTCACAGGATCCTGGTCACCAGGATGGAGGCTGCTGTTGGAAGCCACATGCACTGATGTGCACAGAGGCCCAAGGCGGTTCTGCAGACCGCCACAGGTCTTTGGGAGTCTGTCCAGCCCAGAGGACCCTGTTTACGTTAGCAGAGGAGCCCAAATGCAGGCTCTGTGGAGAAATACGCTTCAGGGAACGTCCTTGTGAAAGTGATGCGACAGACGCAGCACCTGCTTTAAAGAATGGTTGAAGGTGGATGTGCCACACCATGGCTAAGGGCCGGGGCCTTCGGGGTTGGGCAATTAATTGCTTAGACCTCTCCCCGGGGTTTGCTTCTTGTTCCTGGGGGAGCCTGTGCTCAGTTTCCTCATCTGTAAAACAGAGCAGTGTATGCCCTTTGGAACTATGGGGGGAATTGAGTGAAATACCAATGGAGAGAGCTCCCAGCAGAGAATAAGCGTGAGGGGAATCACAGCTACATCACAACAATCTGGATAGAAACGTGAAGTCTACTAAACAGCAAAGATCCGATCCCTGCTACTACCCTCCTGGACTGGGGTTGGGGGTGGCGGGGTTCCCCGGGTTGCCCAGCGTACCTTCTTTGTCAGTGCTTTGGGGAGGGTTCCGAAATGGGGTTCAGCTGCTCTGTCCACTGGGTTGTTGATGTCTGAGGGGACTGATTCTGTTCTCCGAAGCCTTGTTACTGTTTAAAAAGGGGGGGGAACACATTAGCAGCTAAAGGAAGCTAAAGACAGACTCACCTTAGACCCGGAAGGCAGAGGGGAGGAGCACAGGACACTCACGTGGAAGGAAGGATATTCTACAGGCAGGGGCTTCTTTTGTGCACTTGTTGTGACACTTCAACCTGGTAAAGAAGGCAAGGTCAGTGCACAGAGGGCCACATGGGGCTTCCGAGGCACACCTGGGAGCATTCGCTCACCACGGCCTTAAATTCTACAAACTTCTCAACAAGCATCAGCTTGCAGGTATAGAATATCCTGAGTGACAAAGGCTGCTACTGCGGAGCCCCCATCTGCTACCTGCTGAGCCCCAATCCTGTCCTGCTGTTGTCCACCCAGTCCTCACAGCAGAATTGTGCCTATTTTAACTTGTTACAGGTCACATATCTATTTTTGTTTTTTAAGGAAAGGAGACCCTTTACTTATATTCAGAAAGCTCTAGACAAATCTGAACTTGCAAGAAAGAAGAATTAGAAGAATGTTTGCATCCCAAAGGGTCCCAGAGATCCAAAGACAGCCCCTTCTAGCCACATTCAAGCACTGGGTCGTGTGGTCTGAGGGTCAGGAATGGGCAGAGCCAGGTCCTTTTTTTGGTCCCATCTACTGCACTGAATCTCAGTTTGCTCACTGATACCACAGGCTGAGAGTTGCTTTCCGCCTCTCACTGTGACCTCAGGGCCATGTGGGCTCAGAGCTCTCTGTGTGAAAGGCACAGCTGAACAGGAGCCAGGGGTCTCTAATTTGAACCCAAGTGGCCTGGAACCACAGGAGAATTAGACTGGTCAGAAACCCCCAGCATCTCCTTGGAGAACAGGAGAGCTGTCAGGAAAACAAGACTGAACCAAGCAACATGCACAAGACCCAGCACTGACAACTTGCCTAGAGCCCAAATGCATCAACACGCACTAGCTCAGACTCCCAGAGCAGCCCGACGGAATCACCTTCTTAGGTGTATAAATAAAACACAAGGCTCAGAAAGGTCAAGCACCTTGCCCCAGATCACACAGCAATGCAGGGGCAAAGTAGGCCAGGAACCAAGACTCAAGGCCCACCATCCACAGAGTCAGGGCAGCCGGACAGCAGAGGACAGACTCTGTTCATCCCATACTATTCTCCATCCCTGCCCTTCTTATAGGAAAATAAGTTGGATGTGTATAGAATCCACACCCTCCCGCTCTCTCCTTCTATAAGCCATGGTCTACCTCCATTTCCTACTGCCTGTGGGCTACAATGTAAGGGTAAACTTCAGAACTGCTTACAGTTCCCAGAACAGTCCCTCACATTCCTCCCTGCCTTTGTACAAGATGCTCCCTTGGCCTGGAATTCTCCTCCACCCCCTGGTCTACACCCTGATCACTCTCTCGTGTGCCAGAATGGGATTATGAACCTTAGGTTTAGGAGAATTCCTTTGAACTCTGACTTACTAAACCCAAAGCGTTTGCTCCCCCACTACCCTCTGCCCATCACCTGCAATGCTTGCACTTCACTCCAAACATCATGCTCTTTTGGCACACGTGGCAGACTTGTGAGAGCCAGGACTTGGTGGAGAACCTGCAGGGGGTAGACACATACACATGATCCCACTTGCCAAGAACCAGGGCCTGGCCACAGAAGGGTTTCCACACAGCTCCAGGGATACTGGGAGTCCTGGATTCAGCCCAGAGCCTCAGGGACCCTCTCCCAGGACCAGGACACCTAGGGACCACTGCTTCCCTTCCCCGAGGCATGTACATTTCCCAGCTACAAAGTCTTCACTGTCAGTATCCTGAAGTTTGTGTGGTCACTGACAATGTGACCAAATGTGGCAATACTAATCAAAATTATAAGTGTGCATACCCTTTGACCCAGAAATTCCAGTCTTAGGAGTTTATCCAACAGACGCTCTAACAAGTGTCAAAAAACACAGGGACAAGGTACCTCTGTGGCAGGTTTGCAGCTGTAAAAGACTGGCAGTAACCTACATGTCCATCAATAGGGGACTGAATAAAGCACAGTCACTCCCTACAATGAACATCACATAGCCCAGAAAATAAGGACACTTTTTGTGCAAATATGGAATGATCTCTAAATCACACTGTCAAGTAAAAATAGTGAGATACAATATGATATGATCCCATTTATATGAAGTTCAAATATAGAAAAAATTAATCTATGACGACAGAGTGAACATTGACCATTTGATGGCAGCACAACACCCCCTGCTGCATTTACAATAGCCTGTAAGGTGGACGGACAGCCAGAGCACAGGCATCCCAAGGCACTGTCCAGCCGGCTGTCTAGGGGGATGGGACACCACCCAGAGCTGCTGCTTGCTGCCAGGACACACCAGCCTCAGGAGCCAAGACCCCTGGATGGTCCATGACACAGCCCCGCATCAACCCTCCCTAATACATACGAGCATCAAAGACCTCGCAGAGCTTATTAAAATCCAGATTGCCAGGCCAAGAGCCTCAGGGACGGACCCTGGGAATCTGGACTTCGGGTGAGCTCTACTCTGACATGTGGTGTTTTAGGAGCGGTATGACTTGTAGTGGGTACGGAGGAAGCTCTTGGCTCCTCCTTGTTTCTCCTGAAAAAGGAAGAGAGTGATTCCCTCAGCAGAGTCAGGAGGAGACCCAGGGAGGGGCAGGCAGGGGACCAGCAAGCCCAGATGGCCTCTGGTGACAATGCAAGAGCTCAAGGTGGGTGCGGGGCTGAGTTCTGCAGAGGGAAATGGACAGGCAGACCAGGAGCAAAGAGTCCAAACAAACTATTAGGACCTGAGTGAGGGCACCTGCCTGGGGTGGGCCCCATCTGGCTTCATGCCCCTCCTCACCAGGCCAGCTGGGCCTACCTGTGTGTCACTGAGAGCCCGATGTCCCTTCGTACCATCTGTGGGGATCCATGAGGGAGATCTGTGAGAAAAGAGGCCAGGTTGGACAGGCTAAAGCAGCTCTGCAAGGGGCAGCCAGCTACCACCTGTGACCTCGGGCGGGCGGAGGGGGCGTGGGAATGAGTTCATCACACACTAGAAAAACGTCTCCCTGAACCTACATCTATCAGAACACACAGGCCAGGCCAGGCCAGCGGAGGGGTTCCCTAGGGACTTTGGCTGTCTGGCCTCTGCCAAGGGCTCAGTTTGCCATCCCTGCAGAGTTTCAGGCAGGCTTGAGCGGCAGAACGCAGCAAAGCTGAGGGGAGAAGTTTGCACACGCCCCGACCTCTCACAAATATGCCCACAGGCCACCAACTTATAAGGGCTTACTCGTGGTTACAGTCGACCCCAGAATAACACAGGTTTGAGTCACACCTGTCAACTTATATGTGGATCTTCTGCCACAGCCACCCCTCCCCTTCCTCAGGCTACTCAACGTAAAAACCTTTATGATGCTCTGTTTCCACTGAATACTGTATTTTCTCTTTCTTATGGTTTTTCTCAATAATATTTTCTTTCCTCTAGCTTACTTTACTGTAAGACTATGTAATACATATAAAATCTGTGTTCATTAGATGTTAATGTTATTAGCAAGGCTTCTAGTCAACAGCAGGCTATCAGCAATTACGTTTTAGGAGAGTTAAAAGTTACATGTAGATTTTTAACTGCACGGGGTAGGGGGTGGTCAGTGCTCCTGACCTGTGTTAGTCAAAGGTCAACTGTACTTGTTCGGTGGGAAGCTGCTTGACCACTGATGGGGAATCTGAGACTAGCTCTCCACGTACCTTTCCAGCCTGAGGCACCTCTGAGCACAACTGCCAGATTTTGGCAGGCAGAGTGAGGACGAGGTGAAGCTTCACCACACTCCCACGCGGGCCAGCCCCATCTGGGCTCTATGGCCTGAGCCTTTGGGGATGTTTTGGGAACCCTCTTTCTCTGCTGCAAGAAGGGCTACAGGCATTGAGATATCCCTTCTGCTTGGGGAAACCGAGGCCCTCTGATTTCAAGATTATTCTTTTTTAAGCACCACAGGAAGCAAGAAAAGGTTCATTTTTCTCTGCTGTACACCTTTTAATAAAAGGATTTGTTCTGCAAAATTTGGATTCAGTCCAAAGGCCGCACTTGAGGACCACAAGTTCCCCACATCTAAATGTGCTTGAGTGATCTGTGGCCATATTGTATAAGTCAGAAGGTCGCCACTGCCCCCTCACCCCTGAGTGCTGGCCCAGCACACAGCTGGTGTTCGTTAAGTGCTGGTTCACTATAGGCCAAGTCCCACATACCCAACCTCAAGGAGAAAAGCATGCGGGAGGTACTGACTCCTCCCACACCAGGGGAGTTTGATCAGGACAAAAAGGCCCTTGGCCATCCTCCTTGATCGGGAACCCATGACTGCCTCTCCTGCAGCTCCCTCTGGCACATTTGCATGGGCTGACTTACCCCACATTTCTCCTGGGCCCCCCTCCAAACCCAGTCAGCAGCCAAAGCCTTGAAAAACCTCTAAGGGGTCTGCTGCCAGTCTAAGAAAAACAGACTGTGGGAAAATGAGACTCCAGCCACTTAACCTCAGAGAGCAAGCTATGGGTTGTAACATCTGCCACAGGCATGAGCCGGGGTGCAGAGGTGGTGCCGGTGCCAGGTATCACCTCTCCCAGACCCAAATGGAAACACCAGCCCTTAAGGCCTAAGAACCTCACTGCTTGGTCCCTGTGTTACAACTGAAGGATGATGGGCTGGGCTGGCCTAGGGACAAAGGTGCTCAATTTTTCTCTAAGGCTCTGTTAAGGGCTCTGGGAGCTTCTGCCTGTGTCTTGGAGAAGAAGGTAGGCCCCCTTCTCCTTCCTCACCCCATCCCCTACTGGGTTCCTGCACAGGTCCACTATGCAGAGTCACTACCTGCCATGGCCCCCCTCCCCCCAGCTAGGTTACAGTCCTCAGCCAGCTTAGGACAATATGAAAATACACTGCTATTTTGCTCAGGCAAAAACCAGATGCCTCTGTACTTCCACTCAGACAATGCACAGCAGGCTCCAAAGGTATGTGTCTCCCCCTGCTTGACTCCCACAGCCAGCAGCATGCAAGACCCTGCTCCTAGCCAGATGAGGAGGGTGGAAGAGGGGACCCAAGGGGGCTGCCACTCTCCTCCCACTCAAAGGGGCATCTGCACCCTCCCATCCTTTCCTGCCTCCATGAATGCCCCTCTCCTGGACAGAGGGATCCTGAGGCGTCAGGTGGGGGGCTCTGAGGATGGCTGAAGTCCACCTAAACCAGACAGATGGCATCTCCCTCCCAGATGCCCTGCTTTACCGAGGCAGCCCAGGAGGCAAATGTCCTTGCCAGAGAGGTCACTGTGGGGCCGGCAAGGTAGAGACAGGGCTCATCGCCAGGCTGCCTGCAGACTGATGCTCTCAAAGTCCCTGTTTCTCAGAGAGCAGCTGCTGGCTGGGCTGAGGCCAGCTCATCACTTTAAGTCCACCTGTCTCAGAGCTATTTCCTGAGGTGGTCCCCAGCACCTTTGCTTCTGAACTATGGGAACGGAGGGTCAAAGGAATCCACCCCCGATGGGGACAGCAACGCAAAGACAACTCTTGGGTGGCAGAAGGGACGGAAATGAATCTCTCTTACCAAACCTGGAGGAAACAAAAAGGAGAGAAGGGATTATGTCACCATGCTGGCTCGGCACGTTCCTAGAATGTTACCCCAGAGAGGGAGCAGGCAAGAGGTGGCACACGGGACTCTGAGGCCTGGCTTGGGGCCAGGCTGGCGGAGTGGCTGTGGGAACCCCGGAGATCCTGTGGGGATGATTCCTCAGTGGGAAGGGCTGGAAGGCGTTCCCCGGGACATTAGCTTATCTGAGCTTCGCCGGCAACCAAGTGTGGCGATTAGAGTTCACCCCACTTCATAGCTGAGGAAACGGAGGCTCACGAGTGGGAGAGCCTGGCCCAGGGTCCAGGCAGGAAAAGGGGTCAGTCTGCCAGGGTGTGGCTAGGCAGGAGGGCAGGGAGGGCAGCCGTGCCCAGCAGAGGGATGTCCCCAGCAGAGGGATGTCCCCGTAAGAAGGGTCAGGTGGGGACATACCCTGAGTCACACCTCCCACAGGGCTGCCACTGCCTCCAGGGATGCAGGGAGTTGGGAGGAGCCAGGACACGCAGTCTACCCTCAAGGCAGAAGAGGTGGCCCGAGCAGCTATCACACTGCTGCTTCTGGTGGCCTTGCAGGGACTAGACTCAGACTTCCAGGGTCTGAGGCTCAGTCCCCAGCTGTGGGAGCTGAGGCTGGTGTGTCATATGACCAGGGCCCTCCTAATGCCCTTTTCAGGACAAAATGAAAAACAGGCCCTGGGTTTAGGCTACTGTGAGGCCTTCTCTGACTGATTCATGCACTGTGGTTTTATAGCCCCTCCTGGGTGGGACCCAGGCCCCAGCAGGACAGCCTGATCAGTGACCATGGCAGGTCACACCTGGATTTATCCTCCTTGGGCAGCAGCATACTCAAAGCCTTTAGAGCTGCCCAGGCAGCTGCCCTGCGGATAGCTGCCCATGACCCACGTCCTGCCTGGGATAGGGAGATCAGGCCCATTCTGCCCAAGGGGATGCAGAGACCCAAGACAAACTGGGGCCCAAAGAACCCCCTATAGAAGTGTGTCCCTGCCAAAGAGAGAAGCCAGGTGCCCCAAACTATGGCGGTACAAGAAGATAAGAGGCACCCAGAAAAAATTTAAAAAACCTTGCCCTCTATTCTGCCCACAAGGGTATATTGACAAGACAATCTTTGTAATAGCAAAAAAGACAATGATATAAATGCCCAGCCAGAGAGTACAAATTAAACTATATAATGTAATGATATGGGCAAGTTTTAAAAATGGTATTATTTGATTAGTTATAGATATAATACAAAACCAATAACCTGGCTGGCTTCTGAAAGAACAACTAGGTGACTAAGTAAAAATGGGGGGTGGGGGTGGTAGACTTTTTACTGTGTACCCAGTCAGAGATGAGGCATTTTAGACCATATGACTGTCTGATTTACTCAAAAGATATAGACAGAGAACTTTAAGTCAGGCTTGGCACCCATAGCACAGTAGTTACAGAGCCAGCGACATGCTGGCAGGTTCGAACCTGGCCCAGGCCAGCTAAACAACGATGACAACTACAACAAAAAAATAGCCAGGTGGGTAGCGGCCGTAGCTCAGTGGGTAGGGCGCCGGCCATATACCAACACTGGCTGTTCGAACTAGGCCTGGGCCAGCAAAAACAACAATGAAAACTGCAACAACAACAAAATAGCTGGGCGTTGTGGTGGGCAGCTGTAGTCCCACCTACTCAGGAGGCTAAGGCAAGAGAATCACTTAAGCCCAAGAGTTTGAGATTGCTGTGAGCTGTAGTGTCATGCCACTCTATCGAGGGTGACATAAGACAACTCTGTCTCACCAAAAAAAATAGCCAGGCATTGTGCAGGGCACCTTTAGTCCCAGCTACTTGGGAGGCTGAGGCAAGAGAATCGCTTAAGCCCAAGAGTTTGGGGTTGCTGTGAGCTGTGACACCACGGCACTCTACTGAGGGCAACATAGTGAGACTCTGTCTCAAAAAAAAAAAAAAAAGAAAAACTAAGTCAAAAAATAAATAAAAGAGCAAGGTTTTCAAGATGCACTGACATGATGGTCTGAGAGATATCAAGGTAAGTGGAAACAGTGAGACCCAGGACAGAGCACATGGCACCTGACACCCACTAGTGGTTTTAATCCAAAAATGCCAGTTTTCCCCTTCTGGGCACATGAGAAAACTACATTTCTCAATCCCTTGTTTAGGCAGAGCCATGGATTATGAGTGGAATGTCACTAGAAAGAGCGCTCAATTCCCAGTTTGTGGCATCCAAAACTCACTTTTCCCTCTGCCACCCAGCAACACTCCAGACAACGGCTCTTGTGTAGGCTGGGAGCCAGGCGGGAGGCTGACCCATGACGGACAGGTAGCATGACTGGGAAATACATCTTTGTTATTTTAAGACCCAGAGGTTTAGGGGTTACTTGTTACTGTGCATAATCCAGCCTACCCTGCGGATACACAGTATCTTTTCACAGGTGGGTGTGTACAAGATGAAATCTAGCAGGATGCTGCCCAAGCTGGTAAGGGAGTCCAGGGACTAGACCGAGAGATGGGGGGGGGGGGTCTTTGCTTTTAACTTCACACACTCCTATATTGGTTGATCCTGTGGGTCCTTTTAATCATGTGTCTTCATATTGAAGGAATGACCATCAAAACTCTCCGTAACTGCCCGGCAGGAGCACTCACCTCATCGGGGAGACGTCATCGATGCGGTTCCCCAGCTGGGACTCGTGCGACTTGCTCCGGGTGAGTGTGGGGAAACTGGGCAGCAGCTGAAAGACCTTGCGGCTGGGTGGGGGTGGCGTCCGTGGTGGCCTCAGCTTGGAGTGGCGGCGCAGCTGGGGTGTAGTGGGAGGGGTGAGGAAGCTGTGCAGGGCGCGGGGGGTCAGTCGGCCGCTGGCGTGCAGGGGTACACAGGTGTCCGAGAGGCCCTCACTGAGGCCAGGGGTGGGGGAGTCCGAGGAGGGCAGAGCTGACACGGAGACGGAGCGCAGGCCCTGGGCGCTGTTGGCCACTCTGCCCAGCTGGGAGCTCCCCGGGGGCCAGGGCAGGCTGGCTGGTGAGAGGCTGTCCGTGGAAGGCCCTGAGGAGCTTTCCCGCCGAGCATCTGACATACTCCAGCCTGAGTCCTCTTTGTGCTCCCCTCCTGCAGGCCGAGAGGTTGAGTCACAGATGGTCAGGGCCAGAAGGTACTTACAGGTGGGATGACAAGGGGCCAGAGAGGTTAAATACCTTGCGTGAAGACGCACCTTTCCGTATGGAAAGCCTTCAACCCCCAGCCTTTACCTGGCTTATAAAGACATATTTCAGCTGACCATGAGGCCGTCAGGGCAGGTATTACCATAGGTGAGTATTCCTAATGTGAAAATCCAACTTCCCCCCAAATCTGAAACTATTTCAGTGTCAACATGACATTCTAGGGAAATACTCACTGGGGTATTTGGAATTTTTGGATTATTGATGCTGATAAATGCAAATCTCTCTAAATCTGGAAAATACCCCAAATCTGGTCTCAAGCATTTCAGATAAGGGATACTCAACCTCTATCTCTCTCTCTCTTTTTTTTTTTTTTTT